GGGCCCGGGCCAGGCGCGTGCAGGAAGTCACAGCGGCTAGGGTCCAGCTCGTGAGTGGCCACGTGAGCTGAATGTCTCGAGCCAGCCCAGTGCCGGCCCTGCGCTCACCAGTGTCCTCGGCGGGACTAGGCCTGCGTGAGGCTCAGGAAACGTCCCGAGAAGGTGCGTGTAACTGCTGGCACCAGGACATAGGGTGTGCACGGAGGCACAGGCTGTGTGTAGGCGTGCAGTGCCCGTGCAGGCACGCACTGTGTGTGTAGCCCGGTGCCCAGGTGACAGGAGCCCGTCCCTCGGTCACGCAGTGCTGAGGTCAGCCCCACCACTTCCTCAGAACATGCGGAGGCTGCCCTGGGCCCCACTCGGGCCGCAGATTGCGAGAGGTGCCCAAGCAATGCCCTGAGTGGTGGCCAGCTCTGCTGGGCTGAGGTGTCAAGCAGAGGGCCAGGAGGACAGGACCGCTGTGCCTGGGAGGACGGGTCCATGTGGTCCCACCCCGTTGCCCCCTGGGGCAGCGTGTCAGCTGAGACCTGCTGCTGCCACTCACCTGCCCCCGGGAGCTGCTGACCGTGTCCTTGGTTTCAGTTTGTGGTCGTGGTCAGCATCGTGACCTTCAGGCCGCCCCACTACGGCGCCTACGTCTTCCCCGCCTGGGCCAACGCGCTGGGCTGGGCAGTCGCTGCCTCCTCCATGGCCATGGTGCCCATCTACGCAGCCTACAAGTTCTGCAGCCTCCCGGGCTCCTTCCGAGAGGTGGGTGGCAGCCCCGCCCGGCTCTCACCAGTGGGCAGGGGGCGCCAGGTCAGCATGGCCTCCCCATCCCGTCCCCATCTGCTCCTGTCTGCTCCTCTGTGGTCGGAAGGACAGACGGGGAGGCTGGCCGGTGGGGTTGGGGCCGCAGGGGATGTGACCTGCCCTGTGTGTCAGCGTGTGTGGCTGGGTACACTCTGTGTGTGTGTGTGTGTGTGTGTGTGTGTGTGCGTGTGCACTTGCGCTTGAGCGTCCAGGTGTGTGCAAGCCTGAGTCTACGTGTGCCTCTGTACACCTCGTAAAGATGTTCACTGCATCCGTGTATGTGTGTTCACGTGTCCCCACGTTTGTGTGTATGCTGTGTGCCTGCCTGTGGTTCACATGTCAACACGTGTGTCTACTACACTCATGTGTTTGTGCACATCTGTATGCTCATGCGTCCACATGTATATACCTTGTTCATGTGTCTGTGCATGCCTATATGCTTATGCATCTACACATGTATACTGTGTTCATATGTCTGTGCATGTCTGCAGTTCACATGTCCACATGTGCGTATACTGTGTTCATGTGTGTCTGTATGCTCTCATGTCCATATGTGTGTAGTCTGTGTTCATATGTCTGTGCATGTCTGTATGCTTACGTGTCCACACTGTCTGTACTCTGTTCATGTGTCTGTATGTTCATGTGTGTGGTGCCACACATGTGTATGCCCGACACCCACCGCTGAGGCATGCCTCCGCCACAGCACTGCCTCGGGTCAGGGCCGTCCGGGTGCCGAGGCTGGGCTCCCGTGGGCCTGCTCTATGGACAGCGGCAGCAGATCGTGGACTGCTGCAGGGTGCGGGGGAGGCCGCACTGACTGGGCTCTGGGCCCTGGGCCCTAGCACTGTCCTGCAAGGTGGGCATGGGCCCTGGCGCTGCCTGCCTGAGATCGGAACCTGCCTGGGGCTCTGCATGTGACCGCGTGTCCACCGTGCGCCCTCTGTCCTAGAAACTGGCCCAGGCCATCACACCTGAGAAGGACCGTGAGCTCGTGAACCGCGGGGAGGTGCGCCAGTTCACGGTGAGTCCCCACCGCGCCCTTGCCGCTGCTGCTCCTCGGGGCTGGAGGTCCTGACGAGAACAGCACCATTTGCCGCTGACCGTGCTCCGAGCACACGCCTGTGCGCTCCTTGGTGCTGACGGGGCCCCTCCACCTCCGGGGCAGAGGGCAGTGGGGTAAGCAGAGCTACGGCAACATCGAAGGGACCCTGCAGGAGGAGACCAAGTGACCAACAAGATCAGCAGGAGCCCACAGCCTCCAGAGACCTCAAGGGGGGCAGTGCCAGGAGACGCCCAGGGCCGGGGCGTCGGGGGCAGGTCGGGGGCACACGGATGCTCGGTGAGAACGCATGGTCACACCAGGCACTGCCAGACGCACACTGTCCCCTTGCTCATGTGCCTGTGTGTGCCACATGTGTCTGCCATGATGTGGAGAGGTGCTGAGAGCCCACAGAGAACCTGAGCCCATGCTCCTCCCCGAGCCCAGGGTCCAAGTCCTCCCTGCGCCAGGCCCAGAGAGGCCGGGAGATGCTTTGCCCCACCAGTGGACTTCGGTCCCCAAACACAGGGAGAAGCTGCAACCAAGCCCAGAACTCAGTGCCCAGGGCCTGGCCCAGCAGGGTGGGCAGAGGCTGCGGGGTCAGAAACTTCTCCCAGCTGGGTGCAGTGGTGCACACCTGTAATCCCAACACTCAGGAGGCTGAGGCAGGAGGATCACCATAAGCTTGAGGCCAGCCTGAACTACATAGTGAGACCCCATCTCAAAAAAAAAAAAAAAAAAAAAAAATCAAAACTGAAAAGAAAAGAGAATCTTCCCTTGGAGCTTCGAGCCCCACGGGGTGCACCTGTGCGCTCCTGCTGCCCCGCGCTGCCTGCCTGGTCCTCATCCTCCCTGGGCAGTGGAGGCGGAAGCTGCCCAGAGCACCAGGGGGTGGGAACAGGTGGGCAGTGGGCAGGCACCTGCAGCAGGCAGGGGGCAGTGAGGGCAGTTGGACCCGAAGGAGCCTCACAGCCAGGCCAGCGGGTGTGCGGGGCAGGGAGAGCGGCCCAGTCTCCGACCTCTACACCTGGCCGCCGCTTCGCCTCCGCCGCCCTGGGCCCAGCGGGGCCCTCCGAGTGCTCGCCGCAGCCTCGCAGGCAGGACCGCGCCCCTCACGTCCGCTCTGTGATCTCTCCTCCTGACCCCCGCCTGCGTGGTCACTTGACGGCCTCTCAGCCCGGAGCTCAGGTCACTCATTTTCAGCCTATTCCCTTCTTAGTCCAACATGCAGGGCTGTGGATTTCCCTCAGGTGCCCCATTCCTTGCTTTGCTGATTTTTTCATAATTACTTTGAAATATTTTAATTTCCGGTGTGACTTCAGTTAGTAACTTGCACAGAAGCCTGCTCATCCGTTGCACTCGGATGTGCTGACCCCAAATGTGGGAAATTCGACTGCGTGGTTTGTGGCAGTGGAGGGCTGTGTTCGCACTCTCCCCTGACCAAGAAGAAGTCTGGTCAGAGACTTTCTAATGTGGTGCTGGAGACTGAATGTGGACCTTCACACTGAGCCACATCTCCAGCCCTTTTTCATTTTTTATTTGAAGACAGGGTCTGGACTGGGCTCAGACTTGTGGTAGTCCTGCCTCAGCCTCCCAGGGGACTCGTCTCCTTGTTACTCTGACATGGTGGCCCTGTGCTCAGATGTCCCGAGAAATGCCCTTCACCTGACCAGCTTTGACGAGGGCCCCACATGTCTGTGGGTGACGTGGCACGCTCTCCCCGCAGCACGGTGCAGCCTCTGCTCCTACAGCTGCTTCCTCTCCGCCCACGTTGCGTCTGCCTGACCCTCTGTGGCTGAGCGGCCCGTGCCTCCCTCCTCCCTGTCTCTGCTGCTCTCTCCGAGACTCATCCCGGACCCATTAACACTTGGCTCCCAACTGCATGTTGCTGAGATGACTTCAGTATTAACTTTAACCCCTGACCTTTGACCTCAGCTGTAAGTGTCTTTTGCGAGCCTGGCACACGCTGGGAGCCCCCTCCCACAGCTGGGCCGCCCGGTGACGCAGCTGTGACAGTTGTCATGGGAGCTTGGCTCACCGCCTTGTCACTCTCTGTCCCAGCTTTCAACACCGACTTCCTCCTCTCTCTCTGTGTTTGTTTCTCTTACTCTGTTTCTCTACTTGCTCAGAAGCCCGTACTTCAGCTCATTGGACTGTTACCCTGAGGTTGGCAGATAGTTTGCTTGAAGTCTAAAGTGGGTCCCCACCTCGTGCTGTCTGAGTGCCACGCGTGAGGACCTCTGCTCGGCTGACTGCTGCGCAGCTGAGCGCGGCTGTCTCGCTCTCACGCGGAAGCCGGGGCCTGGCGTGGCCGCTGTGTTGTGTGTATCTTGCGTGGCTGCTTGCCTTGGGGCTTTGGTCCTCCCTCCGCAAGGACTTTGACCGGTTTTCACAACCCCAGGTGTCCGTGGGGCTCTGGAAAGCCCCGCCTGCGTGTACCCAGCCCCACAGAGCCCGCATGCAGGGGGCGAGCACTTGCGGCTCACGGTCCTTGGCAGGGAGTCTGTCTCTCCCCACACTGTTGCGCCGGGGCACACGTCCTCCCTCCCACTGCTGCCTGGCGTCTTGGTCCCGACGCCCGGGCTTCCCTTCTGCCTCGAGCAGCTGCTCCCTGGCACATGGCCTCAGTTTCTCTTGCTGACTCTGGGGAAGCGTCCTGTGTCCGCAGCGGGTTCTCAGTTGCAGCGGCTTGGAGAGCTTCACAGCACGGCTGTCTTGCCTTCGCCACCCCGTCCTCTCCTGGGTTCGGCTGTGACCTGGGTCTCTTACCGAGTGTGGATCGTTTGGGGTTTCTACCCGTGGATCCGGGCTGCATGTGGTCGTTTGTTCCTGACTTGCAAGCCTGCCCTGAGAAAAGCAAGCATCTCGCCCTGCCACCGCTGTGCCTGCCCCTAAGCAAGCGGTCCCTGGCCCTGCCCACTGTAGAGCTTGTGACAGATGACGGGCGGGTGGGCAGGTGGAGAGCAGGGAGGCAAACGTGACAGTCGGTGACTGACGCATGGTGGGTAGGTGCACAGGTGACAACAGACAGGAGATGGGCTGAATGATAGCTGTATTCCTGGAAAGAACAGTATTTTGTTTTAGTTTTGTTGCTATTGTGTCATTATGGGGGTTTTTGGGGGGTTTTTTTCTTAGTACTAGAGATGCAGTCCAGGATCTGAGCCCATCCCCAGCCCTTTTAAAGGCATTTTTTATTTTTTTTATTTATTTATTTACTGTCTTTTTGAGACAGGGTCTCACTATGCAGTTTAGGCGGGCCTTAAACTCACTTTGTAGCCCAGGCTGGTCTCAAACTTGCAATGATCCTCCTGCCTCAGCCTCCCGGGTGCTGGGATTACAGGCGTGTACCACCATGCCCGGCATATTTTTTATTTGGAGGGAGATTTCACTAAGTAACAAAGCTGCCCGTGCTGGGTTTGAAGTAGCAATCCTCCTGCCTCAGCCTCCCGGGTGCTGGGATTACAGGCGTGTACCACCATGCCCGGCATATTTTTTATTTGGAGGGAGATTTCACTAAGTAACAAAGCTGCCCGTGCTGGGTTTGAAGTAGCAATCCTCCTGCCTCAGCCTCCCAGAGTACTGGGATGACACGTGCAGCACCTGGCCCAGCTTGGCTGCAGTGCTGCTCACAGGGAGGGATGGCGTCCTGTTTGCTGTCTCTGGCTGGCGTGTGTCGTGCAGTCGGGGTGAACGGCACACGCTTCCTGCTTCTTGTACCCGCTGTTCACTGAGTTTGCCGAGTTCATCGTTTCCGTCACATCTGAGCACTTTCTGCCACGTCTGCACTGTCCTCTGCCCCGGCCCTTCCGGGGGCCCGCTCCCCAGCCCTCTGGTCTGCGCCCATCTCCCTCTGAGGCTGCACCTCTGCCTACCTCCTGGGGACACGCCCGTCTTGAAGTCATCGTGTCCCAGCATTCCCGTGGCCTGCTGCTGGGTCTCACCAGGTGTCCGGTTGACGCCCACGCGGAGCTGCTGTCGGGTTTCTGGTCTGCAAATCCGAGCTCCGCTTCTCGGGGTCTGGGCAGCACTCCTCCCTCCAAGGAGGCGTCTCCTGCTTCTGTCCTGCGGGGTGGCACACGAGCCGGGCCCAGGCCCAGTGTCCCCACCAGGCTGGTGTCCCCAGGACCTGGCCCTCACCACGCCATGTCCTGTGAGCCCGCAGGGCCTGAGCAGGGGGGCAGGAGCCTGCCGCGTGTCCGCCTCCTCGCACTTAGAGGGGCAGGCTGGCCGGCTGGTCTTAAGTGTTTCCAGGAATGGTCTTGCCGTTGAGTGTCATCAGTGCTCAGAAACGGCTGGATAAGCAGACCCTGATGACAGTGGAGACGCTTGCTGGCTGCCTGTGGGGCTCCTCACCCTCCGGGGGTGCACAGGGGACGGGCGCTGGTGTCACGCACTGCAGCAGCATGGACCCCAGCACTGCCTGAGTTGGGGTCGGGCCCAAGCCCCGAGGGAGGGCACCCCACACAGTGCCGCCTCGCTTCTGAGTAGCCCCGTTTCTTTCCAGCTGCGCCACTGGCTTCTGGTGTAGTGCAGCAGCAACCTGGCCAGCCGGGCAGGTCCTCGCCAGGGAGAGGCGCTCGGAGAAAGAGGGCTGTGTCCACCCTGGAACCTCGGCTGCACGGACAAACACCCGGGGCAGGCTCGCTGTGTCCCGTGTCTCATGAGAACCACACCGACCCACGCAGTGAGGCTGACCGGTCGCTGTCGCGCCTGGCCAGCCACCCTGTGGTTCACGTGGCCTGCGTCGCAGGAGGACTTGGCAACTGTACATACTCTGTACGAGTCCCTGCGCCCACAGGGGCCGCCCGACCACTTGTGTTGCTCAGATTTAAAAGCCAGGTCCCCTGCTGTGTCTGAGCAGACAGAGACAGAAGGGAAGAGCGAATCCGTGGTCTTTTTCCTGGCGCCAGGCTGCAAGCAGGGGGTGACCAGAGGGTGCCACTCACCTGTTGCATATGTGGGCTCCACCCAGGGCCACGGAGGATCAGGGCTGGTGCATGACGGACACTCTACTCCCTCGCAGCTGAGAGACCCAGCTCAGGCTGCGGCCATTCCTGCCCTCGGAGTGCTGGTCAGCTCACCCGTGGCCCCGCTGTGTACTTGGCCAGAGAGCATACCCACCCAAGGGCACCTGAGTGCACACAGCCCACAGTCTGCCAGCCTGGGGCTGTGACCCGTGGGGGTCTCAGGCACACGTGACATCTTGGGACACTTCACCTGCTAGGAACTGGCATTTTAAATCCTATTTATCTGTGTCAAAACAAATTCTCAAAATACATGTTTGATTGTTTGCTGATGTTCTGGGATTGTTTACAAGAATAATTAGCAATACCCATGAAGACTGTGGCCGAGATCTGCCTGCCTCTGCCGTCCTCTCGTAGCACGCTGGCCTCCCCAGGGGACAGCAGGGCCTGGCTCGTGAGGCGGAGCAACCTCCCTGTTCTGCCAGTGTCACAGAGCCATGCGGCCCTTGCGCTGCCCAGAGAGGTGGCTGCCACGCAGGAAGGGCACTCGACCCACAAGCAGGTGGACGGGGTGGGGAACCCGCCTGCCGCCTGTACGTGGTGAGGTTGTTTGCAGTCTCGGCTCAGAGGAACCAGGTTCGCCGTCTCCTGCCTGAGGAGCAGCTCCGTGTAGAAACCAGGTGTCGTCAGCCTCTGTCTCTGTCTTGTATTCAGTATCATGTGTGAACAATAAACGAAGTCCGTGTCGGAGAAATGCCCTGCCGCGTGGCCACACGTCTGCTGGGCCCTGTCATTCTCAAGGCCCTGCTCCCCTGCACACCGTGGGTCGCTCAGCTCCCCTGGGGAGACCACTGACCCCTCAACTGACTGCACACTACCGGGGCCAGGCAGGGGTGCGGGGGACCTGCGCCCTCTCCGGAAAGCCCTCCTGCGGCCCCCTGTGGGTGCACATGGCACCTGCTTTGTGTGCCACCTGCCTGTTCACTAGGCCTTGACTGCCGTCCAGCCCCAGTCTCCCCGCCAGCCTCCCTGCACCCAGCCTGGGCCCTGCAGCCTGACCAGCGTGGCCGCCAGCCCAGAGCCCTGCACACACGGCCTGGGGCTTCCATGTGGCTCCTGGCCCTCATCCATGCCATCCCCAAGGACACTGAGGACTCTGGAGATCTGGCCGTGCCCAGGGTCATCCTTCGGGGGCACGTGGTCAGTCACTGGTCACTTAGGTAACACAGGGTCCCTTGCAAACCCGGACCTGTGAAGGACAGCGGTCACTTCTGACAGTCCCCACAGGGATCCCACCCCTGCCCCACAGGAAGGCCTCCACACGTCTACCCACATGGTGACCCCTGCCACAGACCCAGGAGAAGGGCCTGGCCTCCCTCAGGCCTCTGCCCAGGCTGACCCGGTCCTCGCTGACCTCCCCAGCCACAGCCACAGTCTCTGGGGATCCAGCACAGCAGCCGCAGGGTGACTGTGGCCCAGAAACCGTGGGGTCATCTGGGCTGAGGGGGCTCAGGTACCGGCCATATTGCACCCCAAAAGCAAGCACCTCCCAGACAGACCACACCTGTGCCAAAACCATTGAGGTCCCCCTGCCAGCTCCACATGAGGGAAGAAAGAGGCCTCAAGGAACCGACTGGGGTCCAACCCACAGAAGTGATGCTGTGGACAGACCTTGGAGGCAACACAGGGACACCTAGGTTGGGGCTCCAGGACCAAGGCAGCCACTGTACACCTCACACGCCCACTGGCAGCTCCAGGTGACCTAACATGGGAGGCGTTATGCACAACACCGTGGTCCAGATCCCCGCTGGGTGCTGGTCCAAGTGATGCTGCAGGAAGTGCGAAGGAGCACAGGGCAGTCAGCGGCTAGTGCTCTGAATATACAAAGAGCTTCAGGACATTGATAGGAAAACAACAATCCAGCAGGGAAAGGGGGGGAAACCATGAGCAGGGGCTGCACGTCAGAAAACACCTGAGTTAGCAACTGGGGAAGAAAACGGGTATTGGGTTCGGGGCTTTGGAGGTTTGGTCCATGGTTGGCCCCAAGGCAGCCATTGTGGGGACTGTGTGGCAGAACACTCACCTCAGGGCTGGAGGGCAGAAGAGAGGCAATGGAAGAGACCACTGTCTCCCTCCTAAGGTGTGGCCCAATGGCCACAGGCCACCCTTGAAGCCCCAGCACCTAAAGCACCAACACTCAGGACCAAGGCAGCCACTGTACACCTCTGGGGTGCAGCCCTGGGCACACTCCAGGTCTGAACCCTGGCAGGCATGTTGCGCCAGCACACGTCCAGATGGTCCAAAGGGAAAGATGCCAGCCTGATCCGTCACCAAGGAAGTGCAGGGACACCCACCCACCACAGTGGAGTCTGCAACCCTGATGCCACGTTGTGGGGGTGGAGCAGGAGGAGCACAGTGCATTTCTGGCCAGAGAACAGAACGTGGTAGTGGCTGGGGCAGTGTGCGGCACTGTCCCAACAGCCAGCTCCCCTGTGGGTCCCTTCACCCAGGGCCATAGTGAGTGCACCTGTACAGTGCACCAGCTCACCTGGACCCCACGCCACCCACGCCACCCACGCCCCAGCCCAGGTCCAGCCCACACGCCTGCTCCAGCCTCTCCTTCCTGTCTTTTCATTCCTTCAACTCGCCCAGCCCCACCAGGGAGTGGCACGCAGAGGTCACCGGGGGGCAGTCCTAGAGGCCTCAAGTCCAGCCCAGAGGTGCATCCGCTCGAGCCCACAGGTCCCTCTCTGGGCTACAGATGTGTGCAGAAGTGCATGTCAACATATGCTTGCAAGGTGTGTCCATGACACACATGCAGGGATGCCCCTAACACACGTTCAGAGTGTTCGCAACACGCGTGCAGGCACACTGGGTGCGGGGCAGTGCAGCCAGCATTGGAGTGCATGATCCCAGGTCACGTAAAGGAGAACCATCCGCGGATGGTGCTGGTGTTGGGGTGTCATTACGGGTAGAGCTGTAGCCCCGGAAGATTTGATGAGGTCCCTTCCCCGTTCTTGTGCAGATGACCTTTGTGGAAAAGGGGTTGCTGTAGATGTCACAAGGACTGGCCCTACCTCCAGGTGACTGATGTCCTTCTGAGCACAGGAGGAAGCCGGGGACAGAGACGCCAGGTGCCCTGAGGCAGGGACACAGTGAGCATCTACACACCTGACACCCGGACGGCCAGTCGCCTTTGGGCTTAGTGTGAACATGGGCAGAGCCTGCCTGGGGCTTCCACAGAGCCATCAGCCTCACCCCAGGGCCCAGCACGGGTCCCGTAGCTGTGGGCCATGTGTCTGCGCCTGTAGCCCCCTGGCCTGCATGGCAGGCCCTCATACCTCCAGGTTCGGGTGTGACTCCTGCAAACCTGCAAGCTGACTCATAACTTTATTAGACAGATATTACTGGCTGGGCACAGTGGTGCACACCTGTAAACCCACCACTCAGGAGGCTGAGGCAGGAGGATTGCTGTGAGTTTGAGGTCAGACTGGGCTACAAAGTGAGTTCAAGCCCAGCCTGACCTACATAGTGAAACTTTGTCTCAAAAAGACCAAAAAAAAAAAAAAAAAGTGCATGGAGAAAAGTCAGGCTTTTCTTTTCTCTATCCAAATCCTTCACCTTGAGCTACATTCCCAGCCAGTTCTTTATTTTTACACTTGAGACAGGTTGTTAAACTGTCCAGGCTGGGCTCAAATTTGTCATCTGCCTCAGCCTCCTAGACTGCTGAGATTAGAGGGGTCCACCACTGCATATGGCTAAGCCAGGCTTTTTCAAAAAGCACCTTCGTCATTCCCAAAAGAGTCAGCTTCAGGTGGAAATAAGCCAGACCCCGTGCCGCGTGGGTGCTGCGGAAGCTCTGGCCGCAGCCTGGGCAAAGCTCGACTTGCTCCCGACTGCTGGTTGCTTTTCACTTCCTCTGCAGGGCCACGGACAGAGCGCCGCGACGGCAGTGCACAGCCTCCGGGGGGCGCACCAGCCGCTTTCTTCTCCCCGTGTCTCGGGCGCTGGGGTCAGGGCGTCGCGTGAACAGTGGGCCGCACAGTCTCAGCAAGGCGGCAGCGACCTCGCGTCCAGAGCCCGTGTTCCCCCACCCTCCTTCCTCCGCCCACCTGGGCATCTGTGACCTTGGCGGGCGCTCCTCGGGCTCTGGGGGGACCGGGCTGCTGTGGGGAGGCTGCCCAGGGCTCTCTGGGGCTCACTGTCCGCTCCCACTCCTGCCCGAACCCTGCACATACCTCCGGACTCCCCAAAATGTAAACTGCTAGCAGGCGCCGCTGAGCAGAGCCCCACGGATCTCACAAACACGGAGGAATGCACACGTGCCGCTGCCTGCATTCTGGGCGTGAAACGCGCCAAGGTACGCAAGACCCGCCCTTTGCTCCTCCATGGCGTGCGGCTGCCTGCGGGAGCAGTGGCAAGGACAAGGACAGCGCCCGCTGGACCCGAGCTTGTCTCCAAGCCAAGGGGCTGGCCTGTGCACCGTGGCCAGGTCTGTGTCTCCATGTGTGTGGGCGTCCTCTCCCCGCGTGCAGCTGGCTGTGTGTTGATGAATGTTAACTTTTCCTAACCGATCTGAGTGTGTCCAGTCAAAAGTCGACTGCTGCTTATGTAAATCTATGCAGTCATGACATGTTTTTTCTTAATTTTCTTGGTATTTCTGGGCTATGTGGTTCTTCTAGGAATTTTTCAAAGTGTACAAATCTTAAAAAGAAACAAGTCTTCCATGCTGGTGGACCTGTCCTGACCCCACTGTGCAGGCCCAGCACTGACAGAAGCGGCCACCTGGGGTGTAGAGTGACCAGAGCCACCCTGAGTGGGCACCGGGCTGAGGCTGGCCCCTGGGGCCGGGCTCCATGCAAGCTTCTTGCTGTCCTCACTCTGTGACCCCGCCCGCCTCGCCCGTGGCCCTGCTCCCCGCACCTCCCTCTGCGTGGCTGGTCTGCCAGGCTCCCTGGCTCTGCCTGGCACAGTTCCCTCTGCGTGGCTGGTCTGCCCAGGCTCCCTGGCTCTGCCTGGTACAGTTCCCTGACTGCACTCTCCGGGCTCCGGCAGCGTCCTGTAGGAGATTTGCTGGAGCAGGGCCGCACTGGTTGGCTCCCTGCTGACCCCAGCATGCTGACGGTGGTGCTTACTGTTTATAGGCAGGTGAATATGGGGGTGAGTGACAGACGGAGGGGCGAGGATGGACTTGCGCTCACTCCCCATCTGTCCCTGCGAGGCTGACACTTGACGTTGCGTGTGGCACTTTCCCCCCAGGTTGGCTCTGGAGCAGGGTCCTTGGCACATCATAACCTGGGGCAGAAACCAGGTTCAGAGACAAGAGATGCCCGTCCCCGCCGTCGCTGAGCAGAAGTCACAGCTGAAGCACACCGTGCTCTCCACCGTCGGGTCTGGGCTCTCCACCTCCGGGGGACCTCGAGGCCCAACCTGGGGTCAAAGCCCAGGAAAGCCCCACAGAAGCTGTGGGAGCAGTGGTGTGAAAGCTCAGGGGCTGTGTTTTACTCCGTGAAATGCCTAATCTGTGACCTACCTGGGTGCCCCTTAGGCCCCAGCTTCTCTGTGTTCCTGACATCTGGCTGCAAGAAGAAACAGTCCTCACCTGGGCAACACAGGTCACTAGCACGTGAAGACACTGGCCTACCTGGCTCAGCTGGACCTACCATCTCCCCTCCTCCCGGAGGTGCGGGTCCCAGGCAGCCTGCCCGATGCTGCCACCGAGACCCCAAACTCCCAGCAGACAGA